GTTCTCAACCTCTTCAGAAGCTGAAAGCGAGCAATGGCACCTTTCGGATTCCTTCAGGAGGGACTGCAACATGTGCTCACAAGGAGCTTACACAGCTTTTTGATGCCAAATCTGACCTCTCAGGTACATGGGCCATTCTATGTGCAACTACTCGCGTCACCGCTACTTGGCATCAGGTCACTCCGACGGTTAAGGTCCTTGCATTCAATTTTTATGCAGTGGCTAATGCTGCCTCCGAGCGTACCAAGTTCGAGAGAAACAATGAACTTCTGGACCAGATCCTTTTGGTGGCTGCTCAGTTTGGAGATGTCCCCGTGCTGATTGCCGGGGACTTTCAAATGGAACCAGGCATGTATCCAGCTGTCCAACTTGCTTTGGATCATTGGGGATGGGCGGATCCATTGTTACAAACAAATGAAGTTGGGGAGGTTTTCAGGCCTAATACCTTTTTCCAGCAAGCTGCAACTGTTGATGGGGAGGGCCAGTCGTCCATTGATGGCATTTTGATGAATCGAACTGCATTGGCCGCCCTTGTCCGCATCGAAGTTCTGGATCATCGTGATCGTCAGCATCGTCCAGTGCAAGCAACATTTGCTTGGGATCGTATCCAGCAAGCTGGTACTATTCTCCAGAAGTTTGCCAAGCTTGATGTGTCACAAGTTCCTAAATGTGATACCTCTGATCCGGTATGCCCATACAACCAATCATGTGAGCAACTCTGGTTGCAATATGAGACAAGTTTTCAGGCCGAACCTGCGTCGGACAGTAAATGGGGTCTTTTCAATGAATTTGCCCTGGATGTGCTCTTGCAACATGGTGCAAAATGGGAAAAAGGCCCTCGTGCCCGAGGCCGTCTTCCCAAATTTCGCAAGACACAGATTGCTACACCACAGGAGCTCTCTGGGAATCCTGCTTCACCCCGACTCCTCTTGCTTCGGGCATGCCTTCGCTCGCTACGTGAGTTGACTTATCGATTTGATCGAGCCTGCACTGGAGAAGCTGATGCTCGAACTTTCTTCTTCACGCAGAAAAAGCTGCTACGTCGACTCAAAGAAGCCTGGCTTGTTCCGATGAATATGCGCCAGGTTTTTGCCTTCGATCTGCCTCATTTGACTGAGTTGACCTTACAAGCCATCGCTGAAGAGCTCAAGCTGATGAAACAGACAGCAATCCGGAAGTGGCGGGAAGCGATGAAGAACGCCACTACCTCGTTGACCATTGGCAAAGTTGTGTATCAGTATCTCAAGCGTAAAGGTCGTGTTCTCCCTCAAAATTTGGTAGAGGATGACGATGGCAACATTGTCTACGACCCGCAAACTGCAATGGACACTATTGCAGAGAAATGGGACGCTGTTTTCTCTGCCAATGCCAGTCACCAACATGAGATGCAGATTTTGAAGCAGGTTTGGCCCTATATTCACGACAAGGGCCAATCTGTCGTGTTGGGGCCCATCACGGAAATGCAACTTTGGGAGCAAGCGGCACGTCGTAAACCTGATGCAGCTGCTGGCTTGGATGGGTGGAACACCCGAGAGGTACAAGCTCTTCCTCCTGCAGCTTTCAGACCAGTTGCTGCATTGTTCAATGAAATTGAGGCTGGTACTTCAGACTTTCCGACGATTCTTACTCAGGTGAGGATGATCATTTTGAATAAGGATGGCAGTGATGCTCCCCTGTCCAAACGCCTGATCTCCCTGCAGTCTATTTTCACCTTGCTGTACACAGGGCTCCGTTTCCTGCAACTTCAGACTTGGCAGCAACAGGTGATGCCTCCCCAACTCAAAGGAGGCATCAAAGCCAGACAGATGTCCGAAGTACACATGACCTTGCAGCTGGAAATCGACCATGCTCATAGCTTTCAAGGATCCTTTGCAGCCCTGAAGCTCGACAAGTCAAAGTGCTTCGATCGCTTGATGCCCAAACTATGTGCTGCAATTATGCTAGCGTTGGGCCTACCTGCTACACTGGTGCGTGGTTTCTTGGGTCTTTATACCCGAATGACCCGATTCCTCTCCTTTAAACAATGGACAAGGGAGAGATCGATTTCCATGCCAAATGGTGTTGTTCAGGGATGCTCCCTCAGCTTGCTCTGTATTAACATACACATTGCTATATGGGCCTGGATCATCTGCAAGATTGATGGTGTTGCCTTTCGAGCTTTCATAGATGACACCTATCTGTGGACTCGTCAACCCACCATTGATGGGCTTGTCGCTGCAGTCCGCGCAACTGAATTATGGGACTCGCTTTGTGGACAGTTCCTCAACACGAGTAAGTGTGAAATTTTCGCTACGAGCAGTTCTCTTCGCAAGGCTCTTAAGCAGGCTTTCCCACAAATGAAATTGGTTGAGGTGGTCAACATATTGGGGGCCTTTGTCCAAACTACGAAGAAGAATGTTGGCAGTTTCCCGGGTGCCAAGCTTCAGAATGCCCTTAGAGACTGTGAGTCCATCCGTGCTTTGCCGTGTGACAGCTACAAACGTGCCCAGATCTTGGCAACGAAAGTTCTGCCTCAGATTGCCTTTGCTCCCCAACTTAACTTCGTTCCCAAGCGTTTGTTGGCTCGCTTGCAGAGTGCAGTGGCGGATGCGCTATGGCAAGACCGACCTCGCTGGCGATCCAAGCACCTGTTGCTGTGCATTATACACAAGGCCCATAAATTAGATCCTTTCTTGTGCCGAGCAGTGACAACGATTGTGGAGTCAGTCCGCTTCTTGCAACAATCTTCATCTGCCCGCCAACAATGGCAACAGCTTTTTGATCAAGATCAGCTCACTGCACAAGCGTGGATGACCCAGTTCGCTCAAGCCTGTACCGTCCTTGATATTGAGTGGATTCATACCTTTGAGTTCTCGGTGTTTGGGTCAGCCCCTGTACATTTCCTGGACTTTTCGGTGAAGGACTTGAAATGCGTGCTCAAGAGCTTAGCTGCCAACAAGTGTTATCAGACAGCGTGTTTAATGCCGCGCAAGGACATCTATACTGCAGCTGGGTTCTTGGACCTTGCCTTGACGCTCTCAGCCAAGAAAAAACTGGCGAATGTGCCTAATGATGGATTCTCTTTTCTATTTCATTGGGAGAGTGCCTTGGTTGGCTGCACACTTACAGCGGACCGCTTGGCAGCAGCTGGTTTGGTTGATAGACCTCACTGCAGGTTTTGTGATGCGCCCAAGGAATCTATACAGCACTTTGTTGACGAGTGTGAGCACCTTCCAGTTGATTTGCGACAGCCGTCAACTGCCTTTTCTATGGGGCCTAATTTCCCCATGCTTGGCATAGTTGAGCTTCCGCTTGAAATCATCCAGAAGAAACTGGTCTGTTCCAGTCCGTCACATGTACAGGTGGCTCCATGGATGGGTACCCTTTCTTCAGTTGGCCATGTCTGGACTGACGGTTCAGTGCAGCTCACAAACTATCCTTGGTTTGCGCTAGCTGCCTTTGCAGTGGTTGGTCCTGACCAATCTGTGCTCGCTGCAGGAAGTGTTCATCACTGGCGATTATCGAGTTATTCTGCTGAATTGTGGGCAATATTAGTAGCCTTTGCCATGGCTACGCAACCGCTGGTCATACATACTGACTCCCTGACTATTGTTCAGCAGTTCTCGTCGCTTCTTGGTGATGGTGTGGTTCAGTTGGAATGGACGCATGCAAATTGGTGGAACTTTCTCTACAACTTGTTGGTCCAGAGGAGGAGTTTCCATGACTCCCCCCTCCAACTGACATGGTGCCCTGCACATTTATTGGAGCACATCCCTAGCTCCATGGTCACGGAGGAGGAGGCGGTGAGAGTTGGATCTTCGCGGCAAGACATTGTTCTCAACCGTCTGGCTGACACCGTTGCCAAAAACCACATTCAGAAAGCTGCTCGTGACATTAAGGCTGATATGGTCATGAAAGAAGCAGATGTTTTTGCACGGCAGTTATGGCTCTCGAAATGCAACCGCATCTGTAAAAAACCAGCTGGTAGCACTTCATGCCCTGGGGAGACAGTTGCTCAAGTTTCTGCACCTTTCACTGCTCGTGAGATGTGTCCTAGATGGCCTTGGGATGTATCGTCTTCACTCTATACCTGGCGCAGTCAAATTGATTTCGATGTTCCCTTTCGTGCAACTCCTTCATTAAGCGAAGCAAATTTCCGCACGTTCCTTCGTTTCTGTAGCTCGATCAAATGGAGAGTTGGCGATGGGTATTCCTGCGCTGTGTTTGAGTTGGCCATCCTGGCTTTCATCGAGGGATGGAGATTCCAACACCAGGTTGGAACTTTGTGTACACCACATGCTTTTGCGACCCTTATTCGTGCAGGATTGGCCTTTTGCAAACTCAAGCAGATTGTGGTGGCTCCCTTGTTGCTGGAGAAAGGCAATAAAAGCAATGGGAAGACCTTTCCCAAAGGTGTGTTCGTTGGTGCCGAAGCCTATTTGCCAAACCCTGCACTCGAGATGCTGGCCAAAGCTTTCTCAAAGGGTGCAAAGCAATCTCCTTCGTCTTGGAACATGCCGTTTGACTCGCTCCTGTAGCACCCTGGTTGTCTTACTTGTGACCTTCTTGCAGAATGCAGGGAGGTTGCCACAGACCCTGATGTCTTGGCCGGAGAGCAAAAAAAAAGGAAGCTCCCCCGCTACAGGGGGAGCTTCCTTGAAGAAGCGCTCGCACATGATTTGGTCCCTAGACTTTTAGGGAACCCTTCTCTGTACCAGGGAAGACTTGAGGCAAGCGCCGCCAGTCTCAACGCAAAGCTAAAGCAACTCCAGCAAACTTGCCAAGCGAAACCGTGAGAATTGGCGGAGGTCGGCATCCTCTGTCCGCTGGATGTCAACGTTGAATTCTCTCCAGCCCCATGTCACAGGAGCATTGCTCACCAAACTCCAAGCACGAGAGATGTGGAGAGGAATATCATATCATAGAACTGGGGTCCATCTAGCTTCACCGCGGCTTAGTGGGTCTACACACGTCTACACATCTAAATGTCAAAATCCAACACTCTTCCTGGGCAGCCATACGTTGCCCAATGTCCTCTCCACCACAATCATGGCAGCTTCCTGAAGCCAACCCAGAAAGCCGTGAGTCTCTGAACACAAGTCTGAGACCAGCAAGTCCTGATGCTAATTTGGTTGCTTGTCATAATCTGAGCCAAGTTTGCAAGGTGACCTGCTACTCTTGTATATCAAGACTCCCTCTTCAGACTTCTCATTGTGTCTTGTGTCGGCTTCTCTTTCGTTCTGTTGTCTTGAGTAACCTCTCTTTAATGTTCTCCAATTCTCCAATCCTCTCCCAGTCTCGGGCATCCGTCCAATCTCAGGGCCAAACCCACCGACTGGCACTCTCGTAGGTGTGGATCAAAGAACTACAACTGGCCCAGTCTTGAAAAAGAATTCGCAGCATGAGACATGAAATGAAATGAACGTGCCCAAACAAAACCATTGGCCACCATGCATTCTTTGGGAAATCCATGATTCAAACCCTGATCCAAAACCTGCCCGGGCATCTTTGGAAGGTCAAGACTAGAAGAGCATGCCATGCAGCAATCCTGTCTAAGGCGTCAATCTGGCCGGTCTTACGTGATGGCATTGGGTCTGAGGTCGTACCTGACAAAAGTTCAGTGTTGCCTGCTGGAATTCAAGCTATATATATATATACATGTGCGCATATATACAGTACATATATATATATGTGTGTTAGGCCCTAATTTGAAAAAGGAAGCGACGTCTTTTTGTGTTGATATGTTTCGTCATTGTGCGACAGACAATTGACTTGAAGAGTATGCAGAAGCATGAGGACAAATGGTTCACATTAACATGACCAAGGGCTACAACTACACCAGATAGTAAGTACAGATGATATCTGCAGCAGCAGCCAGTGACCAATATGTTTTGCAAACGCGTGGTTGCTTAGGCTGCCTTGAGAATTTGTTCATCTTTCCAGTGAACAAGTCCCCAGTGCACTGCCAAGAGCAAACCTGCACCGTAAACGGAACGCCCACTGTACAAGTCTGTGTAGGGTTTAGCCTTTTTCTTTGGAAAGCGCCAGATCCTATCAATCACCTGCATGCAGCCTTGACCTTTACAGGCGTTCTTGGCCAGGCAGCTTATGGGACACCAGACGAACGAACGTATTTTGGCATTTGCCACTGCCATGTGCCTTTGACCTTGACACACTTTTGCAATGAATGACATTGTCATGTACCACGCCGGCAAGTTCCATCTTGCACGATTTTGCTGAATCAGTGTGCAAAATTCTGATGCCACTTTGTCCCACTGACTTTCATACTTCTTTCGTAGATCACAGAGCCGATTCTCCATGTCCTCAACAGCTTTGCGATTGACTCCCAGGCGGTGGATTGGATGGGGAACCTTGTTGAGCTTCAGCAACAAGGCAGCCTAGCGTGGGTTGACAAAGCACTGGAGCCACGGCAGATGAGCATTGATCGTACAGCTCCGCCCGCTTGAGCTGCTGTAACGTAATTCAATAAGTACCTCATCTCTATATATTGAGATTATTCTTTTCACATCCACAAGGATATTACCATGATTATCTAGCAATGCATGTCTTCAGCATATGTTATCTATCTAATGCCCTTTTTCAATACCTGTCTTCATTGTTTCAGCATCTATGTTTAAAGGTGTACTTATGTCATAATTGTGTATATATGTACATTGAAAGGGTCAGTTAAATGTGCAATTACTGTGAAACCCAAGGTTAATGATTCGAAATGTGTCAACACTTTTGGAGAATAGCAGCTCTAAGTGCAGGGATTGAAGATTGCAGATTCCATCAGAAAGTCTTAAAATTAATCTTGAGTCCACGATATGGAATGAAGATGTCTGGGTGGATTGAAGATGCAAAAAAACTTTAGGGGGGAATCTTCAATCTTCAATCCTGTACTTGAAGGAATTGGGTGGATTGAAGATTACTTGAAAAACTTTCAGATGGAATCTTCAATCTTCAATCCTGTGATTGCAGGAATTGATTGAAATATTTCAATACATTCCTTTATTCCCAGAATGGTTCGAAATGTTTCGAGAATAAAGGAATGTGTCGAAACAAAGTTTTTGAGGAAATGAACAACCCTAGAGGCAGAGAGAGAGAGAGAGACACACAAAGAGACACATTGTGGTGAACCTGGGGGCACCGCATTGACCAAAAGTTGTTGTTTTTTTTGCGGGGTATACAATCCGCAATCTATTGTATCTAATACATTAATGCATATATAATATATATATATATATGGTTCGGCTTTAGGGACATGCACAAATCACAGGTTGCCTACACCAAAGAAAGAGACCCGAGCGGTTGATGCGTGTGATTCCCTGTTCTCGCCTCAAAGAATTGCTCTCATTTCACCAGGCGCTACAGATCCATCAAACCACCTGTCCGACCCTTTCAAGGCTGGCCTTGCCTCCTTTGTGTTGCAATCATTGTCGCCCACTCCCAGGCTTCCACACAGGAAGCCACCTCCACAGCAGTTGGACCAAGGCAAATGATGGCCCTGAAACAGTTCTGTGGCTCCTTCCACATGGCCCTGACATGGCCCTGAAACCCTCTTCTCTGCTAAATCAATTGGTGGACCTGCTCGAAAAGAGGTTTGGCCTCTATGTTTTTTGTGCCGGGCCACAGTGGCACCCACTGAGACAGCATCCCACTGACACGGCATCTCCTGCAGCGTCAAAAGGGCCTTGGCCATGCAGAAGCATGTAGCGCACAGGTCGTGCATGCTGGATAACGATGGATTGTGTGGACACAGGTCGTGCGGCCCCAAAACCGTCCACCAGGCTTAGGCTTAGCCAGTCCAACCTACCGTCCACAAGGCTTGGCTCAAACCGGCAGGTCGCACCCCAAGGGATGAATGTAGAAATATGCTGGAGCGCGTCTATTGATAACAAGGTAGCAATTCTATCAATGTTAGCTGTCTCGTTGTGTTTGTATCGTTTCTTGAAACAAACAAACTACATGCTATGGACGGGATGGACCCCTGCAGGTCAGTGCTCTCAACCCCACTGCTTCCTTTACAGCGCCAACTTCCTAGGCTGGGAACTACTTGCCAGTCTTGATAGCTAACCCTATAACAATGTCTAAGAGACCCTGACGTCTTCCCAGTGTTCAGGGCCCAAGCCCCTCATCATCGCCTGGAATTGCTGCAGCGAGTCATATCTTAAGGGAATCCCTCAAGGGGTCTGCCAGGGGGGCTTACGTTCAGACAAGCCCGTTTGAGACCCTGCACTTTGTCACACTCTGCCCAAACTGGGGTCCAAAACAAATGTTGATACGTGAACAAGGGCCACAACAGTGATCCGTGATCCTGTAGAGTGCAAACTTGAAAGAACTTTCGAACCAGACCTCAAGCTCTGGATTTTTTACAAATCAAGCCACAGGCTTGAGGCTACTTTGAGGGATAGGATTTGAGGTTTGGTCAGAAAGAACATCAATGTTTATATAACGTGTTTAACATTGTTTGACAGTAATAGCTATGGGGAAGAACAGCTCATTCTGTGCTCATTGTATGCATAGAACTCTGACCCTTTGCGCAACTAAAGAAGCTTGTGGTGGCATACAAATACACGTTCTCTTAGATTCCAACCGAAAAGGCGAAGTCTGTAGGTTGCGGCCCTTGCCTGCAAGCGTCAAAAAGAGCCAGATGCTTGCAGAAAGTCAAAAGGATCGGACCAGGTAGCGACCAGGACCTGGAGAATCATCCCAACTCAGTAGTGGGTGACATGCCGAGTGCATCCGCGTGCGAACGAGGATGCATCTGGTGACTGGTGCGCTCCCACCATAGCTGCTGTCGCCTCTTCATGTCTTCGATCAAATCTAGGGCCTCTTCCTGAGTGGCTCATGAGTCGCCCTGTGCGTCTCTTGGATCTACATGTTTCTTCTTGTTACTACTAGCAAGGCACTTGTTACTAGTAGCGTGGCACTTGTTCCTACTAGTAAGGACAAGGTGCATATGCATGCAAATCTGCCCGAGTACACCTGTGGCACACTTGGTTGCTATTTGAGAATTCCTAGCAACGCGCTTTCGTTTTGAGCTACGACCACATGATCCTACAAAGCGAACGGGTCGTTCAAACGCGTGACACCAGGTCAGTCGGTCGCGTGACACCAGGTGGCCCATGAAGTGTCTCGGGCAAGGCAATCCACCACAGAGCTGCTGAAGGCCACATTGGCTTCGATGGCCCTGGTGATTTTGGGGGACTCAAAGCGTTGCTCCCAGCTGGGTGAAAATTGTCAAACTAAGGACGGATGGTGTTCGGATCCCAAAGCGAATCAGATCATTTCGGATCGATGTTCGATTTCAGCTTGCTCACGGCCGGAGACAGCCCCATGTCATGGATCTGCTGTCATTTAAGACACAAAATCAAGATCAAGGTCCAAATCGAGGTGAAGTTTGCGTGGCTGTAGATTTAACAAGCAATTTGTGTTGGTTTTTGGTCAATGCAGTTTGAATGCGCTTTTGAGCATCGGCCAACAGTTGCAGTGCGCTGGTCCAAACCATGGAAGAAATTGTTGGAGAGTGCTTTAAGTTCTCAAAATGAGAACCCTAAAACTGAAACTCCTTTTTGGATCCTTCTTCTTAATTCGTGCCATGCAAAATGGGATCTACGACAAAAACACGACTACCCCCCGAAAGGAAAGCTAAAATGATCTGCTAGGAAACCTACTTTGGGTTGAAGAGCTCAGGAAGAAACTCATGTGTCTATGGGTTTCGACGCAAGAAACTCAAGCCGTTGCACCAGTTTCCACATGACTGCGACATCCACTGCTAGCCATGTGGAAGAAGTCCGCTGCCCGCGTTTATACAACAGGCAACACAACCGTGTGGAACTGCACCGCTTGGTTCCAAACAGCCAGCAGCATTGGCGCCATGAGATTACAGCAGGAGAGAGGTGCGACCCACCCTGGCCTGGTACAAAAAAAACTGCGCAAAGGGAGATACTTCAGCTTTTGTGGGTGTAATTAGACAGTCACCAGGCCCATGTTGTAAAGTTAAAGAAACTGTGCAGCCGAAGAAAATGCTGTGGACAGGTGCCCCAGTGCAGTACACAACACTGTCAGTGTAGGAGCAAGCACGTGAGTGTAGAAAGGCAACAAACCCATGCTGTAAATGAGCTGAGCACC